CCTACCATGGATTTTTGCTTTTGTTTCGGGGTTAATGTTTTTAAGGGTTAAGAAGTTAAGGGTTAATTGTAGTACTTTGAAACGATCGCTCTGCTCTTCTTGTTCTCCCATTTCTCCAGAAAAATTTTGAGAAAATTAATGAATCCAAGAACATTGTGGTGTTCATGCTTGTGTGTGTTTGGTTTGCTTCTGTTACATTAAAAGTAGATCAAAGAAATATTTTCAATAATTTCCTGAATTACATACAAGGAAAATGATAATTCTGAACAAGCAATTAAATTAAATTAAGACTAATAATGACAGGTAGGCCACAATAATTCAGTGGACCTTTTCATGATAATAATTCAGAGGGCCTAGCAATTATTGGCTTCGCTTTCAAGTTTTAAGCCCCCTTTTACTGTAATTTCTAGCTGTTGGAGAATTATTAGCTGGTGAACCCAGTGGCATTAATCAATCTGGTGAACCCAGTGGCATTCATCAATTGAAATAATCGGATGGTTGTGGCACAGTTGAAACATTATGTTCTTTCTTACGATTTCATTCGATGCAGAGGAATTTAATACTTTATTTCCCTAGAAAAGCAAATGAGAATGCAATCAATGAATGCTATCAATTTATCCGTCCCGGGAAGTCTAGATTTAGACGGTGCTTTGTACTGTGGAAGAGGGTATTTTTTTATGATAATATTTTTTTATTTTTTAAAATTTATTTTTGTTATTAAAATTAAAAATAATGATGTGTCATGCCAGAACATGTTTATAGCAATGTTCACTCTAATTATTGTTCAAATATAAATGTTAAACATAAACTGACAATTTATCACATCAAGTATGTGACATCTCGTATAATTATACTTGTGATTAATGTAAAATTATATAAATTTAATATAATTAAAAAAATATTATAATATATTATAACATGACCTAATAAATTGTTATATATATATATTGTTGGCTATGACATGATTTTTTATCATGCCCTGTGTCATTGTATTTACTATATCTATAATCATAGTTTTAAAACCCGACCTGGCCTGACGGGTTGACCTGGGACCCGTCTGACCTGGGGCTGGAACCGGGTCGGGTTGATGAAAAAATAAGGTGAGCCATGACCCGGTGTGACCCGGCGGGTTGACCCGAAAACTCGGACGACCCGGCAAAACCCAGTCAAAAACCCGGTTGCAACTCGTTGACTTTTGTTTTTTTTTTACTAAAACGATGTCGTTTTGAATTTTTTTAAAAATAGAAATTGACCCGGCCGACCCGGTCAAAACCCGGAACCCGGGCCTTAAACCGGGCCGGGTTTAAAAACTATGCCTATAACGTGTATGACCTTCTGTTGCATCAATCTTGTTACGGAAATGGGTAATAACCATTAATAAACTGTGCGAAGTTCAAGTAATTTTCAGCACAACATGCAAGAACATGTGAACATGGATTATGAAATGTTTATTATTTACCATATATGCATGCTCTATCATTCAATTTAACTACTTGTTTGACTTCTTTCACAACACTTGATTTAATAGGAGTGTTGACCTAAGAAACCTATTTCTTAGAGTCAAGCAACAGTATAATATGGTTTTTTAATCTATCCCTACTCATTATTAATTCAAGCTGAATTGCTGGAGGTCAAAATACTCTACTTTGAGTGACATCACTAGCTTCGTATCTTTGTTTGATCCAATAACCATTACATCTGTAAATTGTTAATTGTATTAGAGTATAAATAGGTATTGCCCTGACATTTTTCAAAACATGATTAACTTATTTTAAAAGATTATTTGTCATATTACTACATCGGTGACCATCATTATAATATATAGCTCATATTTCTTTTGGCTCCCCTTAAGTCATTCTTTATACGATAGGTCTATGTTACATATTATTTCACACCACATATCAAATTTATGTTTGAAAGATTCAAAATACATTCGTATTAAATCTTTTATGGTTGAATTTGATAACAAAATATCCAGCACAATATCAAAAGTATCCTAAAGGTTGACGCTAAATTTGTGCTACTCAATTCTTGATGCCTGCTTATTTATCTGATACTATACATGTACTAGTTTTGCCACCAATAACATACATTTGTAAACAAAGAAAAAACTATCTTCAATTGTCATTATTTTCTTCATCAACAATTGGAAAAACTAATGAGAATATCTCATTATTCGTATAAAAAACAAATGCAATTAATAACTTTCTATCATATTGCTCATATAAATATTTTCCATCAATACTGATAAGTGACATACAATACTTGAAACTTTCAATACAAGGTTCAAATGACCAAAAACACTCTTTAAAAAATCATTTTACTATCATTAAGATATCTTTTATGTGTTAAATTAACAACTATTCAAGGATTTGATTCCTATATTTTCAACTATCATCTAGACAGTTTCTTAAAAGATTGCTTATATGAAACAAAAAAATGCTTAATGACTTTCTGTTTTGCGACTTATGCTTTGTCATATGATATTTTATGATAGTAATACAATTTTATTCCATCTTATATGCTTGCAACCATCATTAAAAAATTATTCATTACAATGGTTGATATAGTAGTAACAATAAAATTTGCATTAAGTTGATGATGATATTTTTGGACAAAGATCATAACATATGTATGCAATCCCTTTAACTTTGTTATATCAAATGAATATGATATTTAATGATATCCTTCATGTAAATACTAATCATAATATGGTGCTTGCACATATTGTAACTGAACAAATATTGAGTTCGACTATTAAACTCGGTACTCAATCAAGTATATAATGTGTCATCATTTAATAAAATTAACCAATTTATTTTTACTACTGAATATTTGTTCAACCTCCAAATCAAACCCTAATGAAATATGTCTATGATTAAATGCCCAACCATGTGAAACAATAAAACTAGATTTAGAAGCATCTCCAAAATCAGGATAAGAAGGAATAATTTTACCATTAACATCATTATCATTATCAGCATCATCTTCCTTGTCGTCAGGCTCATAATAGTCAAATTTATGTTGATCAACAAAAGAATTATCAAATATAATATCATCTATCTTTTGCATTAAATCATCCACTCTACCAACTGAATTTCAAGGACCAGCAAAAGTTGGGACACACAAAGATTTTAATCGACTACTCGCATACAATATCATCATTGTCTTAAAACTATAATCACATATAATCGATATATGATAATATTGTTGTTCATCAATTTGACACCTTTAAGTTATTTGAATATCAATGTTATTATAATTCCATCCCACTCCATGACAAATGATTTATTTCATTTCTACATACGATATATCTAAATTATCAGTTAACAACAAATTGTTCCCATCATTGTATGTGATACTACTATTTACTTTGAAAACAATTTTGCCACTGCAATTACATAACATAAACATGTTATTAGATATTATGTTGAAAAAAATGGATTCTAGTCAATTTAATGTAATCATAACTAAAATGCATTGCCTCAACCCTGATTGATAAAATTCATAATAAATTTTATCAAATTTCAAAAATTTAATATTAAAACAAGCTTAATATAAAATAAAATATAGTTCATGATCCATTATCAATTGATATTTTTAATGATTAATTGCATTAAATCAAATATAAATTCATGACAAATGAATCTATTTTCAAGAAAATACTAAATTTATCAATTATTAACAATTCAATGAAACAAGTATTTTGTCATAATTTAATCATATTTATATTCTATTGCATGAACAAGTGTACATGTATAGCTACATTATTAGCCTACTACAACAATATACACAAAATTCATAATTTAACAACTTAACTTAGATTAAACGCAACACATAATTAATTAAAATAGTTAATTCATTATTAATTTATTTTATTTTCATGTTTAGCTTTGTCAAATAAAATTTAATTGAATATATTTTTAACTAATTTATCACTGATTTAACAACCCTTAAATTAAACTTAAGTAATTATTTGATTTCAACCAAATCAAATATAAATTGATAACAATATAGTATGTAACAACTTATTTATAAAACTAGAAGAATGGTTGCGGCGACATTGACGACAATAGGGGAACGATGGATTTTTAGGCACAAAAAGGTCAAAGGATGTTGAAGGACTAAGATAAGTTTTATGTTTTGTTGATTTAAGTGAAAAATCTAAGTGTTTAACAAGTTTTTTAAGAGAGAAGTGAGGATTTCAATGGATTTTCCCGTGAAAGAGAAATAACATTGTGTGTTTAATATGCTCTTCTTAAATCTTAATTAATGTCGCACTTGTGGAACACGATATTTAATGGATATTGCGCTTCAAAAATACAATAAAATAAAACTATATCATTTCACCCAATCCTTTTTTATCAGTATCTTTTCCCTACATTTTTAAGTTTATCATGCTATTTTTTTTTAAAAAAAAAAACCCTAAATTTTTCAATTTGTAGCACCAGACAAAGGAATGTGATGTGAGGTGAATTATCCAATGTTTTTATTGAAATGCAAAGGCAGTAACTCTTATAAGATTGAGTGTTACAAAATCTAGCAGCCAATAGGATATGGAAGGTTAAGCTGTTACGCCAGAGGTTTTTTATGTACATATTTCAATAAGAGATGGTATTTTTGTCTGGCTATAGTATAATGAAAATCATTTCATTTCTTCATCCTTCTAAAACTATATCATGTACGTTGAAATTAAGAATTTATGGAGAAATGATCTTACCATAATATTATTAATTAAAATTTTGATAATTAATATTATACAATAAAAAGGGCACTGATAGTTATTTTGCAAGAAAAAAATATTTTTAAATGATTGTGAATTAGTGAGTAATCAAACTTATTGCATTAGCGTGGAGCGAAGCGGAGGGACCAACACAGGCGGTGCTGGGATACCGCAAAACCTAAACTTGCTGCTCTGTAGCTCTAGCAAGCCCAATAAACCCAACCTTGTCAAACCCATTGGAGCCTAAGCTGTTCAATCTCTGTCCATAATATGAATCCATTTCTTGCAAGAATCCAAACTGCGGTCCAAAATTGAGTCCCCCTTTTCTCCACGAAGAAGATCAAAACCCCAGCTGAACCTCACTCTCCGGCGGCCCCCGGATGTCTGATGAAGTAGGCTATGTGGTGGGCAACTCCCTTAAGGTACACTACTTTAAATCTCCCTTGTTTTCCCACCAAACACTGAACTCGCAAATGTTAACTCTCTTCAAACTCACTTGTCTCCCCAAAAAGACAAATTCTTTCTGTTCTAGTTCCTGTAATACTAGAAAGATTAATTATTTTGACCAGTTTTTGCCTCTTTTTGATAAAAAGATCGATTCTTTAAGCTATTTGAACTCAAATGAGAGGAGGAGAGTAGTTGTTGGGCTGTCTAGAATTATTAAACAAGGCCAAGGTTACATTTTGAAGGGATTTGCTAAAAAAAATTGCCCTTATTTTTTAGTTAAGATTATGAAATCATTAGAATCTAGAGAAACTGCATTTGGGTTTTTTAAGTTTGCATTTCAAGATGATTCTGATGAAATAGTCAAGTCTTCTTGTGTTGCGGCACATGTTTTAGGTGCACAGAATCTCAAGTTCCTCGCTCAAGATGTGGTTTCTTGGGTTATTAGGAGAGTTGGGGTTGATAGGAGGAGGGAGGTAGTGGAGTTTATGTGGAAAAGGCATGCTGAATTTGAGTCGGATTTCTCAGTTCTTGATACGCTTATGCGGGGTTTTTTGAAAGTGGAAATGGGTTGTGAGGCGTTGGAGATTGTGGGTAGGATGAGGGAGGTGGGTTTGAGGCCAAGTTCATCAGCAATTACAATTCTTTTTAAGTTGTTGCTTAGAGTTGGTGATCATGGTAGTGTTTGGAAGTTGCTTAGGGGTATGATTCATCAAGGGCCTAGACCTTGCAATCATAACTTTAATGCGGTGATCCTTGGTTTCTGTAGAAAAGGACATGTTAAAGTTGGGGAGAGTTTGTTGTGCGTGATGCAGAAGTTTAAGTGTCAACCAGATGTTTATGCGTATAACATTTTGATTAATGCATACTGTACAAGGGGACAGACTGTAGATGCACTTGGTTGGATGCGCTTCATGATCGATAATGGTTGTACACCGAGCTTGGTTACTTTTGGTACAGTCATAAATGCATTTTGCAATCAGGGAAATATGATAGAAGCAAGGAATCTTTTTGATGGGATGAAAGAGGTCGGTCACATTCCCAATGTTATATGCTATAATACGTTGATGAATGGATATGTTAAGGCGAGGGATATTGGTCAGGCAAACATGCTTTATGAAGAAATGAAGAGCAAGGCTATAGCTCCTGATTGTACAACTTTTAATATTCTGGTTGCAGGGCATTATAGATATGGAAGAGAGGAAGACTGTGACAGATTGTTGAGGGATTTGTCACAATCAGGCTCGCTTCCAATTAGTTCACTATATAATATTTGTGTTTCAGGCTTGTGTTGGGCTGGCTGGCTGGATGAGGCCATGAAACTTTTAGAGGATATGCTTGAGAAAGGAATAACTCCAACTGTAGTTGCTTTTAATTCAATAATAGCAGCTTATAGCAGGGCTGGCTTAGAAGAGAAAGCCTTTAAAGCGTATAGAATGATGGTTAAATTTGGTTTATTTCCTTCATCTTTGACATGCAGTTCATTAATCATGGGTTTATCCAAGTTGTGGAGGCTGCAAGAAGCTAGGGACCTTTTGTATGAGATGATAGTAAAAGGCCTTCCCATCAACAAAGCAGCTTTTACTCTGCTTTTGGATGGGTACTTCAGGATGGGGGATGTGGCAGGTGCTTATAGCCTGTGGAATGAGATGGAAGGGAGGGGGATGCATCCTGATGCTGTTGCCTTTTCAGCCTTTATTAATGGTCTTTCTATAGTTGGTCTAGTGGATGAAGCATATGATGTATTTTTACAAATGTCAAAAAAAGGGTTCGTGCCCAACAATTTTGTGTATAACTCTTTGATCCGTGGCTTTTGCAACAGTGGGAGGCTGCAGGAAGCATTGATGTTGGAGAGGGAGATGGCACTAAAGGGTCTTCTTCCTGATATTTTTACTAGCAATATAATCATTAACGGTCTCTGTAAAGAAGGCAGGATGAAGTCAGCAAGTGATGTATTTAGAAACATGCACCATACTGGGTTGATCCCTGATATTGTCACCTACAATACTTTGATTGATGGATACTGTAAAGCATTTGACACAGTTAGTACAGAAGAAATCGTGAATAAAATGCATGCCACTGGATGGGACCCAGATATCACTACTTATAATATTCGTCTTCATGGGTTATGTACTGGTCAGAAAATGAGTCGAGCTGTGATGATGCTGGAGGAGCTTATTTCAGCAGGTGTTGTTCCAGACACAGTAACATACAACACTCTTATGAATGGTGTTTGTACTGACATTCTGGAGCGTGCCATGATTGTAACTGCCAAATTGCTTAAGATGGCATTTGTTCCTAATGTCGTTACAGCCAATCTACTATTATCTCACTTTTGCAAGCAGGGAATGCCTGAAAAGACCATTATGTGGGGTCAGAAGTTGAATGAGATCTCCTTTGGTTTCGATGAGATTTCCATAAAATTAATGGATAGAGCCTTCCGTAACATCCAAGATAATGTTAACTTGCCAAAACCACCACCTGAAAAGAGCCTGTTTCTGGATTTCCTCATGTACGTTACATACGATTATTTGAGCAGAAATAGTCCTCAAAAGAAAGAAAATCAGGGTTCACTTAAACGGATGGAAATTGGTTATGGTGGATCCTGAAAGCTTGTTGGATGGGTTTCTAGGACTTAAGTTTTCGCGATGTGCAAAAATCTGTGTGAAAGCAGAACCTGGTATGCCTTGTTGAAGATTACCCAGCTGTCTGCACATTATAGTGGCAATGAGTTTTTGAAGCACCATGCATAAGGAGACAGTAATCTTCTTTGGTTGATATGGTATTAGGGAAGCTGCTTGCTGCTCTTGGAAACTTGCATGCTGTAGAAGAGATACAAGAATAGGGTATAACCTAAAAGAAAACGTGGTTTACCCATCAGTGAATAGATCAGCTAGTATCAGGTAAAGCAGAGCAGCAGAAAATAATATGTTTTACCATCCTCATTTCTGAGGAAAACTGTTCACTGAGTTGATTTCTGTTCATGGTGTAGAATTTCTTGTTGATGCAACAGCATAAATGGTGGGATGAACAGGCTAATGTGTAGGCTCTGTCGACAATTGGAATTAAGCATGCATCCATTGGCGTGGGGCCATAAGGGGAAAATATAAAATCTTTGCAGATAAATGATCATGGCCTCTGAGTTCATTTCTTGGCATGCACCTGCCAGTATTATAGTGCACATTCTTGTTCGAAGACTATCTTTGGAGGTAATGTGGGCTCTTCACCTCAATTTTTATTATTATTCTTATGATTGTCTCAGGGCTTTGAAGGGTATTAAGAGGGGAAATTCATGGTTGAGGGTATTATACCATCTCAGCCTCTTAATTAAGGACGCATGGAAGCCAATCCCAACTAGTTTAGAATTTAAGTGGGTATATATAAGTTTGAATTATTATGCATCTGTTACAATTTGTAGCTTTGCCACATGGCCAAACTCGCTGCCGTATTTGTATCTTGTGTTAATAATTCCGGGCTTTTGAGCATTACATTTTTCCGAATATTCTCTTTGAGAAGTAAATTTAGATTTGCTTCAAATCTGATTATTTTTGTGTGAAACAAGTATTGGGGCTTTGGGGTGGATGTTTACGAAGAGCTTTCAGCCATCGAGTCAAATTCATTTATCGGCTTAGGTTGAAGCTTTTTCATTTTTTATAACTGGAAACAACAGAACATTTAACAGGTAAAGTTCCCTCTTTGCATTTTATCTATATCAGCAGTCATGGTGTTTAACCTCTGCCATAATATTCAAAATTTTGTTTCTGTTCTTGAGGAGATGCAGTGCATGCTGCTGACATATCCTTTTCAAGAACGAGTGAAAGAACCGCGAACAAACACAGATTTTTGTTTAGTTGTGCACATTTCTCCTAAACCTGGGTCTCGCAGTCTCCGAACTTTTAACCGTGTACAGCCAAGCTCTAAAATCAGTCTAATGGTGACGAAAAAAGGGAACGGGGTGGTTATTGTTTTAATTTTTCTAAATATGTTTAAGATGATGACCATTTCCTCATCTTTTGTTACTGTTCACAGATGGCTTCCAACGTTTGGATGCATCCTTCAGCTTTTTATGGTTTCGCTGCTGCTACATCCCGAGGCGAGAAAGTTGTAGTTGCATATCTTCTTTGACAAGATAATACAAGAGAAATTCTGAAATGTTTTCTGTCCCCCTTTCACTAAGAGGTTTGGGATGAAAATAAATATATCACCATCAGTGGTTGCATAGTTACAATATATATATACATCAAGAAGTATCAAAACCCTTAATTCTAGCATCTAATAAACATAATCAGATTCTTTAATACTAGGCCTAGACAATAATTGAGATCTTTAGAGAGAATCCAGGGATATACAGCTATGACAGAAATTAAACAAAGAAAGAAGAATATAGTGACAGCTATGAAAGAAATAGAATAAGAAAAGGAGAATATACTGACAGCTACAAAAGAAAGACTAATAGCTATTAAAAAAATGAAATAAAAGAGAATATATTGACATCCCCCCTCAAATTGATGCGGGTAGGTCGAACAACATCAATTTGCGACTGAGAAACTTATGTCGTTGGCGTGTCAAGGCTTTTGTAAAGGCATCAGCTATTTGAAGAGCAGTATTGAGATGAGGAAGAGTGATAACACCGCGAGTAAAGGCCTCCCTAATATAATGACAGTCCACCTCTATGTGCTTGGTGCGTTCATGGTAGACCGGATTTGCAACTATTTGAATAGCACTAGTATTATCACCATGAAGTGGAGTAGGAGCAGTAGGGGGGAACCCAAGTTCAGAAATAAGACCACGTAACCACACAATTTCAGAACAAGCTGCTGACATGGCTCGATACTCAGCCTCTGTAGAAGATTTAGAGACACAATCCTGCTTCTTACACTTCCAAGAGATCAAGGCATCTCCAAGAAAAATGCACCAGCCTGTAATAGATTTTCTAGTATCTGGGCAGCCAGCCCAATCCGCATCACTATAGGAAGTCAAGGTAAGAGTAGAATGTTTGGGAAAAAACAACCCACGAGTAGGGGACCCAATTAAGTATCGAATAAGATGACGAACTGCAGCAAGATGAAGATGTCGAGGTGCCTGCATAAATTTGCTAACTATATGGACAGCATAGGAGATATCAGGCCTTGTAATTGTTAGGTAGATAAGACTACCAACAAGTTGCCGATATAAAAAAGGATTAGGCAAAAGCTCGCCTTCATCTTTTCGGTATTTCACATTCACCTCTATTGGTGTATCAACAGCAGTAGCATCCTTTAAATCAGCAAGCTCAATGAGATCCTGAATATATTTATGTTGATTTAAGAACAAACCATGATCTCTAGAGTGAACTTCCAGCCCCAAAAAATATGTGAGATGTCCAAGATCTTTCATTTGAAATGTACTATGTAACATATGTTGAAGCTTGGTGATCAACCCAATGTCATTACCAGTGAGGATAATATCATCAACATAAACTAAGAGAAATACCATACCAGTGGTGGTCTTGTAAAAGAAAAGGGATGAATCATATTGACTTTGTGTGAAGGAGAAGGTGAGAAGAGTGTTGCGAAACTTCTCAAACCAGGCTCTAGGTGCTTGTTTCAACCCATACAAAGAGCGTCTTAGTTTGCAAACTGCATTAGAAGCCTTTATGGACATACCAGGTGGAAGTGTCATATAAATCTCTTCCTTAAGATCCCCATGCAAGAAGGCATTGGTTACATCCATCTGATATAAAGGCCAGGCTTTAGAGGCTGCAATAGCAAGAAGTGTTCTCACCGTAGTCATCTTAGCAACGGGTGCGAAGGTTTCTTCATAGTCGAAGCCATATTGTTGTTTATTGCCAAGAGCAACCAATCGAGCTTTGTATCTATCCAAAGATCCATCAGACTTGAGTTTCACAGTATAAACCCACATGCTCCCAATAGGCTTAACATGTGAAGGACAAGAAATAATGTCCCAAGTATGATTGGCCTTAAGTGCGTGAAGTTCTGCCTCCATGGCTTGTTTCCAGCACTCATGTTTGCTAGCCTGTTTATAACAAGTGGGAATGGAAATAGAAGAGAGAGTAGTAGACATAGCCACAGGAGTGGAAAAACCATACCTTTCAGGAGGTTTGTGAGGTCTAGAGCTTCTACGAAGAGGAGGGGGATCATAGGAAATGGGCAGAACAGGATCAGATGTTGCAGGAAGATGTGAAGGAACCTCGGTGATACCTGGAGAAAGAGCAGAAGCAGGAGTGCGTCTATGATAAACATAACCAGGTTTAAACCTTTGTATTAGTGTTGACGACTTAGAAAAAGATGGTAAAACAGATAAAGATGGAAATACAGAAGGCTGTTGGGTGCAAAAGAAAGGCTGATTTTCAAAAAATATAACATTCCTAGAGACACGAGTTCGACGTGCATGTGGATCATAACAAAGAAATCCTTTTTGGGTGACAGCATAGCCTAAGAAAGCACACTTGACGGATTGGGCAGTAAGTTTATTTCTCTCATGTGCAGGAAGGTGAACAAAACAAACACATCCAAAAATATGAAGATTGGAATAATTTGGTGCATGTCCAAACAAACGAACATAGGGAGAATCATTGTTCAAGTGAGGAGATGGTAATCGATTAATTAAATAAACAGCAGTACATAAAGCTTCACACCAAAAATGAGAAGGAACATATGACTCAAGGAGAAGAGTTCGAACAACATCAAGAAGATGACGATTCTTTCTTTCAGCCACACCGTTTTGTTGTGGGGTGAAAGGACAAGAACGTTGTGATATGATCCCATGACTTTGAAGAAAAAATTGAAATGCATTTGACATATATTCACCACCTGAATCAGATTGCAGAATTTTAATTTTGGCAGAAAATTGTGTCTCAACTAAGGCAAGAAGGGCTTTAAACACAGAGAAAACCTCACTTTTAGATCGAAGAAAATATACCCAAGTAAAACGAGTGAAATCGTCTATAAATGTAACAAAATATCTATAATGTTCATGAGAAATGACAGGTGCAATACCCCATACATCAGTATGCACGATTTCAAAAGGTTTGGTGGTGTGAGTTTTATGCAATGGAAAAGGAAGTGTTTTGCTTTTACCAAGTTTGCAAGATGCACAATCAACAATATCATTATGAGAAGAAGTTGAATTTTTATTTCCTAATAAACCAGATTTAAACAAGACTCGAAGTACATGAGAATTAGGATGTCCTAAACGTCTATGCCACACCTGATTATCACAGTGAGCAGCATTACATGCAACATAATTTAACATAGGAGAGGGAGATAGAAACAAGGGAAATAGACGTCCCACTTTAGGTCCCTTCACGATCATCTTCCCGGACACTTGATCCTGCACAAAACAACCAGATTTGGAAAAATGAACATCACAATTGTTGTCAACTAATTGGCCAACAGATATGAGATTAGTGGACAGCTTAGAAGACACAAAGACAGTATTTAGAAGGGCTGAAATATCACCAACAGCTGTGATAGACAAAGGATTACCATCGGCAGTACGAATATGAAGATTACCTTCATATTTTTTAACATTATTTAAAGGTAAGACAGTGTTGGTCATGTGATTAGAAGCAGCAGAATCAAAATACCAAGGCTTAGGAATGGAATTTCGGTTACCTGAAAGGCCTAAAGCAGAAAGGGCAGAAACTATCATTTGTTGGACCATTTCAGGGGTAATAGAGGACTGACCAGGACTAGGAGTATTGGAGGAACCAACCGAGACATTATAGGCGGTTTCAGATTTCTTTGGAGGCCGGATGGAGCAATCTTTGATGATATGCCCTGTTTTCTTACAATAGTTGCAGAATTTTTTGGTACAAGTAGTGGCAATGTGCCCAAATCCTTTGCAGCTATAACACTGAACAT